TGACTATCTGTGTATTCATCTACAAAGCAGGGATAATTATACTTTATAAGGTGGTGGCTTAGATGAAATTAAACTATGTAGATCAAGAGAGAGAACCTGGCACTGTTTTGCCATTTAGCTGAAATACTGCAGATACCTAAGATCAGAGAGGAAAGATGAATTATTCAATAAATTATGTTTGATCAATATCCTAATCAATTAAAGATTCTTAAAAAAATGCTATAGCAAAACTCCTAGATGGACTAAAAATGTCCATATAGCTTTTAAAATACTAGCAGTAAAATAGTAAGACAATGCCAAGATACTAAACATAAAAAGAAAAAGAAAAAATAAAAACATAAAATATTTATTAAAAGGCAAAATTTTAAAATTAAGTATGAGAGGGAAAGTTATATATAACACATTCAAGAGATAAAAATTTAATGTATTTAATTTGTGATGAGGTCTTCCTTTTCCAAAATGAAAAGAGCAACTCCCAACTGAAAATAAAGAAAGCTCATGACTGACTATTTTACAAGAGAAAAAAATGTTCAGTCAACATATAAAAAGAGGCTCAATGTCAGCTAAGAAAAAGTGAGTTTAAAAGACCTCTTTTTCAGGGGTGCCTGGGTGGCTCAGTGTGTTAAGCCTCTGCCTCCGGCTCAGGTCATGATCTCAGGGTCCTGGGATTGAGCCCTTCATCAGGCTCTCTGCTTGGCAAGGAACCTGCGGTTCTCCCCTCTCTCTGTCTGCCTCTCTGCCTATTTGTGATCTCTCCCTCTGTCAAATAAATAAGATAAAATCTTTTAAAAAAAGACCTTTTTTTCATATTTCATATCACCCAAATTTAAAACTATAGATAATATCCAGTGTTGTAAAGAGCAGTGGAAAATATTCTTTATCGAGCATTGTTTAGGACAAGTGTAAACTGACTTAGCATTTTTGAAAGATGATGTAGAAAAATCACATAAATTTATCATATGCAGCCTCATTTACACAGAAATCCCACTTCTAAGTATTTACCCCAGGGAAATAATTGCACATCGCAAAATGTTTTATGAAATAAGATTCACATTATGGCAATCTAATAATATAAAAACTAGAAAATACGTTATCATTAATATGACACTTGTTCAATAAACATTTTATATGTATTTTTTAAAACAATAAAGTAGAACTCTGCCATGTTAGATGCTCATAGTATATTAAATAGAGACATAGATAGTTGAACAGTCTTTAAATATATATGTTATGATACCATTTATATATGAAGAGATATGCTTCATTATCTATATATCTGTAAACAAAAATTACATAGTCTTCTTGCATGTATCTATTGTTTTAATTTCTGATGATAATTAGAAAAATAAATGTGTTTCCATTTTGAAAAGTTAATTATGAATTTAGTTTCTCTCTTGTTTATGTTGGGTTTAAGTGCACATGTACAAATATTTTTAAGATAAAAATTATGAGCTCAAATGTAACTCAGATTCTGAGGAGTTAGATAATATTTATCTCTTTACTGTTTATGTTTTGGTGTTAAAAGTTTATGTTGAAGTATTTTAAGAAACTTCAAATACTTTCATTAACCTACTCTAAAACTCCTTCCAGGACTGCCTAGATGGCTTAGCTGACTCTTGATTTGGGCTCAGGTCATGATTTGAGGTCCTGGGATGGAGCCCTGCATCTGGGTTTGTGCTCAGCCTGGAGTCAGGCTGAGATGCTCTCTCTCCCTCTGCTCCTCCCCCCGTGCACTCTCTCTCTCAAATAAATACATAAATATTTTTTTTTAATAAAAATAAAAACAATAAATGTCCTTCCAACCAGTACTGTCATTTTTGCTCATGCTATAACCATACAAATGAAGAGACAGAAAATGTTCTACCTTTTCATATCCTAGAGTTTCTCTCAATCTCAATCTCTTCAAATTATAAAGTCTGCTTTGAAATTTTTGACTTAAAAGTGTATGATTGCTCAAGCCACTTTCACACTCTACAGATAAGGTGAAGTTCTTCTTTTATTGTCATTTCTGTTTAAATCATGTTGAACTCCAAAAACACGGTTAAAAATCAAGGCTGCCTTCTCTTTTAAGTTACCAAGCCAATGCTCAGATTTAATCTGAGTATTTTATGATGATGTTGTGTGTATGCATGGATGTGTGTGTGCACATGCATGTATTCTAGTGCTACAAACACATGTACATGTTATATGTGTATATTCAGACCTGCATGTATGCTCTATGCTTGTGTGTGTTGTGAATACATGTATGTGCTTGTGTATATCTTGTATGTGCAAAGCATCTTAAGAGAGGATATCTAAAAAATGCAATATGTACAGTGCATTTAAAATGAGGCAAATATTTAAGTTTTATCATTTGCAGATAGCAGTATGGATGATAAAAAAAAAAAAAAGCCTTAATCACATGTGGGCAACCATTGTAGTTTCTGCAGCATTGCCTCTAAAGTCAAGTTTACAAGGTAATTACATTTCTGAAAATTCAGGATCCAGTGTACTGTTACACTGAAATTCAAATTTTGATCAATGGATTCTGGGCAAAAATTGTTCTAAGATGTTACAAATTTTAAAATATGATAAAGCTCAGTTTTATACTAAAACACCATAAAACTGTGTTTCTCCTAACTACTTCATTTCTTCCCCAAACTGAAAAATCAACTCTAAGTGCAAAGAACAAGAAAGTACATCATGGTCTGGAAAAGGGCTAAACTCAGTCTAACGGGCATAACACTGAAAACTATAAAGATAAGTAAGATTTTTTTTTTGAAGGTTTTATTTATTTATTTATTTGACAGAGAGAGAGAGAGAGATCACAAGTAGGCAGAGAGGCAGGTAGAGAAGGGGAAGCAGGCTCCCTATTGAGTAGAGAGCCTGATGTGGGGCTCCATCCCAGGACCCTAAGATTATGACCTGAGCCAAAGGCAGAGGCTTAACCCGCTGAGCCACCCAGGTGCCCCACAAGTTAGATTTTTAGTTTATTGTTATTATTTCCTTTTTTGGTTGCATGAAAAGTTTAGAAGTCTTAAAGAAGTATGGAATAGTTACAACCTTTTTTCCTACCTTGGCTTTTTTACATTTAATTTCTTCCCACATTTTCTTCTTCCCATTTGCTTTTTATTCAGTTTATAAAAGATAAAAGAAGTAAATGAGGGTTTTGTAAAATGATTAAATGGATCAAAGAGGAACGTGTTTCTCTGGTTCTTTTATTTTTTTTCTTTAGGTTTTCTTATTTTTAGAGTTAAATTTTACCTTTGAAAGGTAGGAGTACCACTATTCCATTTTTGTTTTTTTTTTACTTTGTTTTTTGACAGAAGTAGGAGAAAAGGAGAAGATAACCTTGACTTAGGGTAATAGTTACAAATTTGTGTTAAAGAAGATTCTATTTTACTTTTGTGAATAATCTATTTTATCTGGGGCATGTACAAACATATATTTAGTAATGTGGGATAAAAAGCCTAAGTATTAGAAAAAAGAAAAACAAGCTTTCTGTCAGAAATCAGGAAGGTAGGGGCACCTGGCTGGCTCAGTGGGTTAAGCCTCTGTCTTCGGCCCAGGTCATGATCCCAGTGTCCTGGGATCGAGCCTCACATCAGGCTCTCTGCCTAGCAGGGAGCCTGCTTCCCTCTCTCTCTCTGCCTGCCTCTCTGCCTACTTGTGATCTCTCTCTGTCAAATAAATAAATAAAATCTTTAAAAAAAAGACTTAAAAAAATCAGGAAATAATCCAGACTAAATAAAAGGATAAATATTATTCAATAAGAACATGCATATTTTGATATAAAATAAGATTTTATATTTCTTAATTTTATGTGGAAAGGAAGAATTAGTTCACCCAAAGTAAAAAAACTCAAGTTGCAATACATATTTTCTCTGGAAAATATTTTTAAGGGTCCAAAACAGCTAAAATGTGGTTTCCTCATAAATTATGTTATATTTTATGAATACTGCTATCCTGAGCTGCCTTAAACAAGGTGGGGTACTTATAGATAAATTAATTCACTATTTAACTTAGTAAACTTAAATTGCATAGGCCTCTTAAGAGTTCATACATTTTAAAATGTCCTTTACTATTCACTCACATGCATAAAAAATTAACTCAGTCATTATGTATATATGCCTTTGTGCCTAGTCCCATGGTGAGACCAAACAAGTAAGAAGACATCCCAACAGCAAACTGTTTCTTAGGATTTGATTTTTAAAAGGACTTACTCACTATGGCCACAATAAATATATGTATTTATAACAGATCATTTAAATTCTGAATCTTTTTATTCGATATTTATCATAAGTAAGTCAGACACATATGCTTAGCAGTGGCACTTGTAGATGTAGAAGAAAATCGTACTTAGTAGAAACACACAGAGTTAAGTATTAATCCTTGAAATATCAAAGTATAAGATAGGAAGGGCATAGTTATGTACCCATGAAAACATCATTTGCTTCTGAGTAACAAAGAAGTGATGGAGTAAATCGCTAAGTGGCAAAATAAATGAAAGGAGAAACCATGAAATGCCTAGAGAAATGCATTTATGAAATGAACTTTCTTCTTGAACAGCAAATTTCTGGAACAGCATTTTTTACACATTTCAGAACACATCTGCATTTTTTTCCACCACCCCCAAATGACACTCTGTTATGTTATTCACTGAAACCAAGAAGCAAACAGAAAATTCGATAGGGTGAATTGCCACAAACTGATGGTATCCAAAGAATGCACCCAGGATGCTTATTACATATTTCAAGTCCCAGGTCCCACCAAACACCTACTGAACCTTAGTCTCTATAGGAAGTTTCTTATAATTGGGGAAGATTTGCAAGCACACAGTATGTTATAAAAACATGCAATAAATTATAAGAAGTCACCCATTCTGTTTAACTACCCCCCTTCTTAACACTTGAGAAAAAGAGGGAAAAGTTCTGACTTAGTTATTTTTAACTGTTTGGTCCAATGCAGAATGGGAGAAAATGTTCAAAGTTTCTGTTTTAATGTCTGAATAATGTACTTACTACAGTTCTCAGCTTTCCTATTGTCCCGGATTACTATCCTTTGGTTGATAGTGCTGAAGAGTGTTGTCCAGTTAATGGTGTGATAATAACACAGGTTGCTGTTGTCAGTAATATAGATGTTTCCTGCACTGATTTCCTTCAGAGATTGGAATTGTAGAGAGGTGATGCCCTGTTGCTTAAGGATAAGCAAGGAGAGGCCACTAAAGGGAAGAAAGGGGGGGAAATGGAACAATATTTAATATGTATATATTAATAAACATCTTTTGGCATATATTCTTGAAGTAAAATAAGGATGTCACATCTTACTCTAAAAAGAGTGCTAATAAGGCATAAAAAAGAGACTGACTCACTAAATTGTGATCTGAATATTATTTTTCTACATGCTATATATCCTAAGTTTTAAAAGGAATAATTTGACCCCCCAAAAGAAAAGGTTCATTTTTAGAAGTACAAATATTAACGATACCTCCATTTCTGTCTACATATTTACCACTGACATATCTGCTCACTATTTTTCCCACTATCCCCTAAGTCTCAAGTTCTTCAAGGATGAAATTCAGTTTTAAAACTAAATAATTAGGGGATTCTGGCTGGCTCAGTTGGATGAGCATGAGGGTCTTGGTCCTGGGGTCATGAGTATGTGCCCCACGTTGAGTGTAAAGATTACTTAAATAAAACTTTCAAAAGCTAAATAATCAACAAATGTTTGTGGAATATTATTCATCTACCTAAGGTAAGACATTAATTCTACTCTATTTAAAAAATTTAGATAAACTTTCAGAGGGTAAATATTGCAGTGTATGACTATGGATATTTGGCTTTAATTTAAACTCAGAAACAAATTGTAATAGTTAAAGAATGTGTCAGTTGGGGTGCCTGCGTGGCTCAGTGGGTTAAAGCCTCTGCCTTCGACTCAGGTCATGATCTCAGGGTCCTGGGATCGAGCCCCACATCGGGCTCTCTGCTCAGTGGGGAGCCTGCTTCCCTCCTCTCTCTGCCTGTCTTTCTGCCTACTTGTGATTTCTCTCTGTCAAATAAATAAATAAATTCTTTAAAAAAAAAAAAAAAGAATGTGTCAGTAAAGATAGGAGACATTAAAAATTAAAGGAATGAAATTAAGCTAAAAGTTAAAAAAATACTCAGAAGGCTTGGACAACTGGGGATAGCATGTCTAAAAGTTAAATAACAACTATGCTATGTAAACAAATTATCATTTCAAGGAAATTATTTTTATTTTAACAGTCTACATTTTTTAATTAAATTCCTTTTCCATTCTCTAAAGAATCATCTGTTTCCCATATTTCAATCAACTAATGAACAATATTTTACATTCTGCAGATCAAAGCTGTCCTCTTTTATTTTATTTATAAATCTAAATATATTTTTCTGCAATATTCAGAATTTTTTCCATGTGTTATGTGTGTGTATATATTTATGTACATACAGATATATATATACACACACACATATACCTACATATATACTTATATACATATGTATATACATACATACATATGTATGTATAAAACTCAGTACATGTGTATTCAATTGAGATGTAATTCATTCTCTGAAATCTGTGTTCTCATCATAACCATCCTGAGTTGTTTATTACAATGTGAACATAATAATGCATAGCAGATTTTTAACATTTGATTCAATGGATAGTAAAATTTAGTCGCATGTAGCACTTCAAAAGACTGTATCTCTCAATTATGCCTTTTTATTAAGAACTTTTCCCCCTTACAGTTTAAAACCTCTTACAGATATACCTATTTTAATAGCAAAATTCAGTGGACTTTCTGAGAATATTATTATGGAATATTTGATGACAATATTGTTAAAGGCATCCTTCAGATTTAAGTAGAAAAACTGAAATCTAAATCCCTTATTGTAAATTAACTTTTAACTGTTTATAAATAAGAATCTCATACAGAGGAAATCTAAAATAAAATAAAGCAGTGGCTTAATAAATATTAACTCAGACATTTTATTATGTGAATTAAAATATTGATATTAGACCTTCAGTGTGCTTCTGGGCTCTCATTTTCCTGCCCACTATTAGCCAGCATTGAACACAGAGCAGTGGACCAAGTCCTGAAATATCAGCCCCATGATGCATGGTTGAAATGATGGCGTCAGAGACAAGAACCTTCAGGTAAAATAGCATTTGCCTCCTGTACCCCTAAGCCATTATCAAGTAATCCCATGTTAGTTGCTAGTTATGATAACATATGTTCAAAAACAAAGGTTTGATTTTATGCATGCCATACTTGCAAAACACTAAAATCATTTTAAGTGAGAGGCAGTTGAAAAATCAAAGTGTTTATTCTGCATACTTTACTTATTTATTTATTTTTATCCTGCATACTTTAAAGCATAACCAGGGGTATTTTTCATTGGGCTTACATTTGGAATTAAAAATGGAAACCCAATATTTCCAGAATCAGTGAAGCTGAAACTTTGAGATATGTACACATGACATTAGTCTTGAAATCTGGAAGACCTGCATTTCTGAACATACACACCTACCTATAGAGTACTCTTCCACCGATGGTCACCAGGTTAGAAAAAACACTGAAGTCGGTCATGTTTGGGGGCCATGACTGTATGTTCAAGAAACCTAAAAAAGACAAGAGCAGTGAAAAAACTCAGAATACCAATACCTTAGTAACTGTGTTTAATGCTGAGTATCCTTGAAACATGATGAAAATGCCTTGAAAGATAGGTTAAAAAAAAAAGACACTAAATGTTCCTATTTTGACTCATTCTATTCTATCTCCTAGTTTTTCTAAGTAAGATTGAGTGTCTTACCCAAAGTTCCTGGGCTACAATATTCATTATATAACGAATACCTAACTAATGAACACCAAAAATCTAGGTTTCTCAGACACACAGGATCATAGAACTACATACGTAAAAATAACTAAATGATCCTTCATTTGGCTCACTCCTCTTTTATTTTTTTTTTAATTTTTTGAAAATTTATTTATTTATTTATTTATTTGACAGAGAGAGAGAGAGAGAAAGAGAGAGACAGAGAGGGAACCAAGCAGGGGAAGTGCAAGAAGGAGAAGGCAGCCTCCCCGCCAAGTAGGGAACCCAATGTGGGGCTCGATCCCAGGACCCTGGGATCATGACCTGAGCTGAAGGCAGACGCTTAATGACTGAGCCACCTAAGCGCCCCTTGACTCACTCTTCTAAAGTCAAAAAATACTTAGTCTAATTACATATAAAGAAAAATACAGCTTTAATTTCTCTGGAAATCCTTTACTACTCTATCTCTACACTTAGGATATCATTTGTCTGCCTTTCAGCCTAATGAATTCCTATATATATACATCTAACCTTTCTCATTTGATTTTTCATTCTCAATAGCAAATCTATATCCAATTCATGTCTATGAGTCCCTCATCAGCTACTATATAACAGCCCTGAACATATCAGGTGCTCAGTAAATATGCGCTAAATGAGTGCTACATGTTATCCATGCTCAAGAGTATTTCTTGTGAAAAGGTACACAGAAAAATGTGGATCAAAAGATCAGTTGACACAAAAGCAATAACATAAAAATACCAAAGATATTTTATTTCATAAATTCCACGGGCTTTCAAAATGTGCACAAATGCTAAGGAATAAAGACACCCATAATTTAAAATGATATTCATTTTAAAACTAGAATTTGCTTTGAAAATAAGTTGTTGATTTCAATACTACGTAATATTTTCAGGAAAATGCCAAAATTCACATAGTTCATAGCACAAAAATGTACTATTAAAAATTACCTGTTATCTCTCGAACTGTCCGGAAGACATTCAGTTTCTCTGGGTCTATGGCTTCAATTGCATTGTAAGGGTCTCTATAGAATCAAGAAGAGATGCAGCCAGATTTTAAATCAGATAAAGGAATGAAAACATAAGAAATATGACTGTAGTTAGTTCATTCAGATTGGATTTAAGTAGCAATGGAAAAATTAGCAATGCCTTGTCCAAAGTTTGTTAGGCTACATGTGGAGGAGGATTAAAAGGGGCTTTGAAGACATTTATGATGATATCAGATATGAGATCTTTATCGAAGGCTATTCTAGTTCTAGAGGAATGGTCCAGTCTGACTATCCTTTTTTTTTTTTTTTCAGTCTGACTATCCTAAAGAAACCTCCAGACATATCAAGTCTATTTATAAATTTTATTTATTGTATTTTGCCTTTAAAGTTTTTTTTCTTAATTAGGAAAAATATACACTACAAATAATTATGGTGAGAACAATTGCTTTTTGGTCTTCTCAAACATCCTAAATTGTTAATAGCACCTACAATCTCATAAGATGTATAAAAACAAACACAAGAAATATTTTTTCTTTTTTTGCTATATCCTTACATTTATTAGTATGAAAGTTACTCTTCATAAGGATTATTTTGAGCAATCTTGTTTCTACATGGCTTATTTATATTTGCTTTTATAGCACAGAAAATATTTGCTCCCATCTTTATGAATCATACTAACATCTGAAACAAAATTTATAACAAATTTAATAATATCCAAAAGGTGTAAATTTTGGAGATTAAAAAAAATGCCCTATCCTAATGCATAAATATATTTTTGTAATTAATGTAATTGATATATACACGCCTTTTCTTTTCAAAAATGAACATAAAATAACTTCTAAAATTAAGTATTTATTGTTTTTTTTCAGAGTTTTCTTCTTAAGGAGAAACCTTTCATCTATAATATAGTGACCATACCAAATAAATACTTCCAAATAATGTCAAACACTTCTCAGTAATTCAAGCAATATTTTCAACTATTTTAAGAAATACATTTTTTTTAAGTTTTACAATGAATCTTGGAACACTGCATCAAAAACTAATTATGTATTTTATGGTAGCTAACATAACACAGTAAAAAAAAAATACTTCATTTAGAAAAGTTAAAAAAAAATGTTTTATTACTTTGAAAGGTGACTTCTGCTATTCTAGGCAAGTAGAGACCTTGTATCAATATATACCTTCCAGAGAAAAATTAAATCCTATTCATTGACCACTTCTCCAAGAGAGATCAAACCCAAGAACAATGAACTTAGGTTTTTTTAGAAGCATGTATCCATCTGTAACATCACCTGAGCCTTATTCTTCCTGTGGACATCTGTTGTTTTACATCTTTGAGAACCTTCTTTTTCACTTGGGAAGTAAACAATAGGATACAGTGATACATTAGATGTGGCCTTAATAGGGTTATCAATCAAGGTGCTCCACAGCCCTCCAACAAACGGAAAGGCATAAAGCTTATCTTCTAGGAATCTGAGTCTAAATCCATTGATTTTAATTCATCCTTGCATTAGAACCTTGAAATTGCCATTAGTTCCAGCAACCTTGATCTCTGGAACCCCATTTTACTGGCTCCCTCAGCTTGGTTTATCTGCATCTGCTTCTATACAGTGAACCAACTTATATCTTAAAAAATACAAAAAAAAAAAAAACCAAAAACAAAAACAAAGCAAAATGAAACAACAACAACAAAAACTCTGCTTGGTTAAATACTGTTTCAGTCTATGAAGTATAACTGATACAACGAACTGCTAGTTTAACAGGGAGTGTTATAGAAGGCTATAAATGAGTTTGCCCATAACTCACACATAATTAAGATTTTCCTCAATGTGATATGAATGTCTCTCAAAGCTTAAAGTCTAAATTAAATGTTCTGGCAAACTTGCTCTATTTATAACTGAATATACATCGAATAAAATACTATGCTTTTGATGAACGTGAAGCCAAGAAATTAAGTTCGCCATGAGGGAAAATTCTTGTTGTTATCATTTTTTAATGTGTAAAGACTTTTGTATGCAGAGAAAATATCAGCTCTGCAGTAGTAGAATGAGCTTTCAACACTTGTTTGATGAAAAGCAGTGTATAGAACAGCTCTGGTCATATAATCAAATCTCTTGGCTTTATTAAGAAATACTCACAATTCAGGGCAAGCACACAACGATGGGGTCAGTGCAAACCTTTACTGAGAATACTTCCAAGTTGCTAGGAATGAAATGAATTCTGGACTGTTCATATGAAACCCAATGGACCACAGAAATTTTATATACTTAATTTTAGAGATTCAGGACTCTCATAAAATAAGTTGACAGAATCCTACTTACCAACTTCAAAGTACCTGCAGGGAGTTGTATCCTAGAGCCACTTGAAATCCAGAGGACTTTAAAATTGAGAACTTCCCTAGCTAAATTCAGAGCCATGAGAAAGAACTTTATGTCCATCCTGTCATTGTGTTTGGTGATCCAAAATAAAGCTCAGGATAGAGAGAAACATATTTTTACAATTCCATTGAAATCGCTTTATTTTTCACCAAACCCATTGTCTCTTTTCCATTGTATATCATCACTGCATTCTCTTATCTAAGCACTTTCTTGTCTGTGTCTCACTGCGATACAGTTTGAACATGCTTACTTGGTGAGCATTCTGTTACTCTAAGTACATGCACATGACTATTATCAAACATGACAAGAGATGAAAGGTGAACATTCCTATGGACAGCCCTGCACACAGGTTTGCCTGTGGTTCCCATTCTAAATAAAGGACTAAGAGTGCCTAGTCTATTTCTGGCAATGACACCATCGTGTTATAAAATGAGCATGCCAGTTAACTTTATTGATTTCTTTTATATATTAAAAATTGTAATTGACAAATTAACCGTAAATTTATTTTTTTGCATAAACTTGTTTTTGAAAAGCATAATATCATTTAATTATGAATTTTACCTATTAGCTTAAAGAAATACTTTAGCTACTTTACTCAAACCATACGTCCTATTAAAAATAGTTGAAGATCAAGGTAATGGGAATTAAGGGAAGTAAAACATGTCTTTAATTTACTAGAAGTTTTTGGCTTATAATACTCCATGTTATTCACATTTAAAATCTCTCTCTCCATCCATGCATGAATTATATACATGAATACAAATAATGTCTATATATTTATAAGATTTCTTAGTCCCACCAAATAGACTTTTTATCAACACCTTCCAAAGATCAAGAGAAAGGCTTCAGATAATGTGTTTTATACTGACATAAAATTAGGAAGAATGAGAAATATCATATATAACGTATATATTTGCCCTGGAAAATGCCTTATATATTATGGTTGAGACACAGTAATATTAATTATAATGTTAGTATTAAAATATCCTAAGTTCAGTGTTATGATTAAGAAGAAATAATAATCTTCTGGACTAAGGAAGGAGTGTGACTTACCATAAAGGAAATATTGCCATGAAAAAAACTTTGCCTCCATTTGGTTTTCATTAGTCTACAAAATAATATCTGTTACATTACATGTTGTGCTACAACTAAATACAGTTATTGAGATTATTCCTTAGCACTGTCTCCTCCTTTGGTTTTTCTTTATTCTTTCTCTCCCTTTTTTTCTCTCCCTCCTTTTCTCCCCATGCCTCTTTATTTTTCCACCATTTATTAATGTTTTACAATATATCAGGTACTCAGCTGAGCACTTAAAAATGATCTTTGTTCTTAATCTCTGCAATAATCAGAGAAGGTAGGTATTTTATTGTAAACCGAATTCTCAACTTTACACTGGAGGAAACTGAGCATTTGACATATAATGGAAGCCAAGCAACTCAGTAAAACTGTCTAGGTTAGAGCCTCAAATCAAACTCTAGTATAGTCTGGCTCAAATTAATGAAGTAGGAAATTTAACTTTTACTTCTGAGCTCATTTTTAAGAGAGACTTTGTTTACCTTTCTGTTCCTAATCACGCAAGTCAATTTCCTATAATCCATTTCCACCTGAATGAATTAGTAAGGTTGTTTTCCTTGAAAGTCTAGATTAATCTAATACTTTATAATGATTCTTCTCATAAATTTGTGAATAAATGGTATCTGTTGTGCAACATATTTTTATATCTTGACATATCTGCTTCCCTTTTTTGCACATATTTATTAATATTTCCTCTATTCTGGATGTTAGGTGATTCAGAATATGTAAAACCATTTTACAATTAGTATAAATCCAGACTTCAGATAAGTATGCTCCATAAGGAACAAAGACTAAAATAAGAATTGTGAACTGCATTTGATCATCTTTGTCAAACTTCCCCGCCCATGGTTTACCTACAAGATTAACCATCAGTGGATTTCTTTTGTTGGTTCATAATCCTTCTACTATCACAGAAATCTTGCAGTGGTTCTCAATGTGGGCAGGATTTCCTACCTCAAGGGAAGCTGGGACATTTGCAGAGATGTGTCAGTTGTAACAGATATTGGGGGACATTATAGGCTTTTTTTTTTTTTTTTTATTTGATAGAGATCACAAGTAGGCAGAGAGAGAGGAGGAAGCAGGCTCCCTGCTGAGCAGAGAGCCCTATGTGGTGCTCGATCCCAGGACCCTGAGATCATGACCTGAGCCGAAGGCAGAGGCTTTAACCCACTGAGCCACCCAGGCGCCCCACATTATAGGCTTTTAGTAATAACCCCAAGCCAAGAAAATTAAATGTCCTTTCCCAGCAAAGTTTTGCCTCATGTCTTGAATAACCTTAAAATGTCCCACCCAATTAAGGACCCATGTGCACAAACTTCATAGTTGATCATACCATGATTATGTGTAATTCTGCAGTCATGTTACTTCTATTTGAATGATACTTATTTCCATTTTCCTCGTCATATAACAATATGTCTGTTACTTATTTCCCATTCCAGTGGTCAGCTGTCCCTCTGCTCTTTACTTCCCATACTTCTTGTACAGAATAACTTCTAATCTCATTTCTCATAAATCCAAACTTTCATTCCAAGTAAGTAGAAGTTGAGCATTTTCCTATCAATTCATATTTTGTTATCCATTACTTTACTTGTATTTTTTCTTTAAATAAAAAATAGAGAATTACAATCACTTCATAAAATTATGTATATAAGTAGGCTATACTATCTATGATTTTTATTTCATAATTTAAAAGGAGGTATGAATACACTTAATATATAAAAGATGGATGTTGGGTCTGATTAGAATGAAAACAACTTCTCCAATGCAATTTATAAGACTGCGTTTTCAAATCTTTCCCTGCACTGATGGACTTGAGGCCAATTCACGTATTATACCCGTGTGGAGGCAGGCAATGTGAATTAAGTGTGTATGTCTTCCTATTTCTCACAAGATGCTGTTAACATGATATGATCTTTAATTCATAGTGGTATTTGGTTTTGAAAATAGTTTTGGTTTTGAAAATAGTTACAGTGTAGATATATTGTTTTAGTAAATGTCATACATGCATTCCATTATATAGATGCACCTAAATGTTGACCCAGGTCTCCTACTCATTGGGGTGAAGAAGGTGAGGTTAGCAATGTAAATCAATTCAGAGGGTTAGTAGTGACTCTGGTAAATTTGGTTGTCCTATCTAAAAATGGCTAGAACTACCTGGCTCCAAAAGATTGTTGCCATGTAGGAGAATGTGTTAAGGAACCAAATCTACATATTTTTAAAGAGAAGTTAGAAATCTTGAACATATATATTTATTTTTAAGCATTACTTGGGCTGAATAAAACATATCTGGGGCAGAAAGTGTGTACATACCATTATAGTATCTGGCATGAACCCATATTAAAAGCTACATTTTAAAGTGAAGAAATGCTTTATGCAATAAGACCTACTGTAACTTATTTGCATGGAAAGAAACACTTTGTTCTATTTCTTTTGGTATTCTTGTTTGGACATATTTATTCATAATGTGTCAAATTGTTTTGCTTCTAGAAATGATGTGATATATGTTTAGAGTTAAGATTTTGAATTGAAATATGTGAGTCACATTCTTTATCTGTAGCCTGTAGCACTAATATTTAGGGATTAAGAGTAATATAGATAAATAGATAAGATATAAAGTAAAAATACTGACGTTTTTATTACAATTGAAAGAATACAAACTTGGCTGTTTTCCTAGTTAAAACCAGCAGGTGGTTCCGTAATGAAGGAACCCAGAAAATGTTACAATTTTTATTGCTAAAATGAAATTCATTTATTAGATCTCCTATACTAGTACTAATTTCCTAACCTAAGAGAAAGATAAAAGATACATCAGGCCAAAGAGAATTTCTGAAAGCTCAAGAGAATTTCAACTTACTGATTGGTTTTCTATGACATACATTTTTAAAAGAATATTAATTTATTCTTCCCTGAACTAATCAGTTAGGAATTGGAATGAAATTCCTCACTTCACCCATTGACACTGTTTCCTTAAACATTTGTAAAAATATGTCAAACTTTCTGAAATCTGTGGATTTGAGGAGACTATCCCACAAATACGTTTTAGCTTACATATAAACTTATATTGTCAAATCTAAGTAGTTATTAAACTCATAGTCTATGTATCTCAAAACTGTGGTTTTTACTATCATTGCTGGTAAAATCTGGAATTTGATTTTGTTGGAGAAGAACATTAACGGAAGGAAGAACTCATCTAGGTCAAAAGGAATCAAACAGACAAAGCTAAAGAATCTCTTAAGCTTTGTCTACACGTTGTAAAATAATTTTCTACAACAATTTCATACTGACCCATGAATACCAGTGACAAGGAAGATCAAATTCCCATTGATTTTGGTGCAGTTTACGAATTTGTCAATGTTACTAGAATCCACGGTCTGAGCTGACATCAGTGATCCTGTGCCAATGCCATCACAAGCTGCAGAAAACAAGACTCACAGTCAGGGAGTTGAGCAACTATTTTTTTGGTCAATAAATCATTGCATTTCTATTATAAAATAACAGTATATTTCATTATAAAATGAAGAAAGTTCATCATAAGACATACACAGTTTTCTAACAAGTAAAATAAAAATTTATTCATGCAACATTAACTGCTGGGCCTGCTTTAAAATATTGTCCCTGCATTGTAGTCTCGTGACCATGACACATAAGAATATCTTATATCAAGTCCAAGTATACCCGCACAACACATATGTAACTAAGACAAACTTCCAACAATCAATGCTTGCTTTTGGCACATAAAGTCAACTATTTTTTCATCTATCCTAAAATATCATTTTCAATGTTATTTTACTCAATTGAGTAAAATAATTTCATAGCCTAATGATGGTCTTCAAACTGTAGTTTTACCATTGGTCTAATTAAGAATACATATTAAACAAAGTACTAATGTTGGGAGCTGTAATCAGAAGGAAGAGCCATTGAAATATTTATACTTAAATTATTTTTTAAAGATTTTATTTATTTATTTGAATGGAGCAGGAGGGTGGTGGGTTGGTTAGACAGCATGAGCAGGGGAGAGTCAGAAGGAGAGGTAGAGGGAGGGAAAGAAGGAAAAGCCGACTGCCTGCTGACCACAGAGCCCAACCAATGTAGGGCTTGATCTCAGGACCCTTGAAATCATGACCTGAGCTGAAGACAGACCCTTAACCAACTAAGCCACCCAGGCGCCCCTATTCTTAAATTCTTAAATTGAGTATTACTTGTACTTTCTGAAGGCTCTACTCAAAACAAACAAACAAACAAACAAAAAGCGAAGCAAATAAAATATGGGGGGGGGTGGGAGAAGGAAAGAGGAAAGAGAGAATGTAGTAAAAAATAAGTCTTGATTGCCGTTTCTAAGGCAATCTGTGATTATTTGGAAGGCTTATTATCATTTATAAAATTTAGACTGTATGTTCATCCTGCTTAATTTAAGTTTCATTTGGGTGAGGAATTGGAGCACCACAGCTAGAAGGGATTTCTTTCTGCACTCAATTTCTAAAACAGGAATTATCTGCAACATTTATTTAATGCGTATGGTAAATTTCCTTGTCATTTTATACATCTAATCTTTCAAAGTAATTTTGAAGCCCTGGAGGGTAAGTATCATGTTTTTTGTCTCTTTGCACCCCTTCATATGCATAGCAAATCATTTAGTGTAGAGTGGCAGCGATTAACATGGGTTCTTGATGTGAAAATAATCACACAATCCATCCCTTGTTATGTGCTTAACCTCTAAGATTTGCTGCATAGAGAATAAAATATAACTTTTTTCCTGAGTTTCTATCAATGCTAACTCCCAGGTTAATCTGGATTATTTAGTTTACATCATTCAAAATCAATAACACACACTATTAAGATAGTTGATACTTTGGGGAACTATTCAAAGTCATGGAAATGTATGTGTGTGTTCAGAGAGGGGAACTTAGCCGGTCCATTGAAGAGCAAATGGAAAAACCTTGGAGCAGGTCCCTGTTCTAGCCAGCATAATCTCAGCTATCACTCACCTTTTGGACAAATATCCGTGCAAGGTTTACACATTTTAATCCCATTTTCTTCTACTTCCATCTTGGAACTAGGGCAGGCACGTACGCAAGAACTGGAATCCACCACAAAGTTATCTGATTGGGGAAAAAAAAAGGCAAAATGAGCAATAACGTTGATGGCCAGCAAACAAGTTTAAAACAAAGTACTTTAGGGACTGACAGTGATGAGTATCATTGATAGCATACATGTCTGCCTCTTTCCCTAAAACAACTCTGTTCAAATATCTCCACCTGAAACAGAATCTGAACATCCACATTCCAATCCAAGGGCAGCCTGTGTTAACAACAGTTAGTCCTTGCTTGACTACTGCTCCGCATCCTGAAGAGCCCCCAAGACACAGTGAATTTCTTTTATAGACTTAGGAAACTACATGACATTTAGTTTGTGTTTTTCAATAGTTCCACTTCATTTCATGTCATGATGCAAGTCTGTAATCTAAAAATACTTCAAGTTACATGCAACACAAATGAAGCTGAAGTTGAATTGCCTTGGATCGAGAGAGCACACTTCATATCCAGGAGGAAATGTTTAAAATGTGTTCTATCTCTTAGTGGAATGCCACAGAAACTGTTCCACGGTTTTATATGAGGAAACAAAATGGAATTTGAAAGGAGACTAGGGAAGGTATACTACATAAACCAGGAATGTCTGATTACCTGATACGCCTGTGAAATGTTTAGGGCTCCAGCGATCTGAAATATGCCAGGATGCTCCCTCCCCCACCCCAAAAAAAGAACAAATTATTGCATCTAGAGCCTCCCACAGTAGAGGCAACACGACACCTGCTAGGCCCCTTTATTTTAAAGGCAGTATCCTTCCCTGTCTGGGCATACTGCTTCTGGTCTAACATTCAGTCTTTTGGAAGGCTTCTGGCCTTGAAGGGTCTCAGATCAGGAAAGACATATGGTACAGGTCCAGTCTGGGATGCAAGCATTTTGCTACTTGGGTCATAAAATCCAAGTGGTGGGGCCCCTGGGTGGCTCAGTTGGTTAAGCTTCTGACTCTTAGTTTTGCCTCAGGGTTATGATCTTGGGGTTCTGGGGGTCCAGCCCTGAGTTGGGCCCCTGTGTTCAGAGTACAGTTGGCTTGAGGATTTTCTCTCCCACTCCCTCTCCCCCTTCCCCTCCCCACTCACATCCTGAGCTTAGAATAAATATGGATTCATGAGCAGTGGCTTGCCTTGGGAGAAGAAATATTGGAAAATCTGGGATTGAAGGGAGTCTGGGGTAGAAGAATGGGTATGGATCCATGGGACTGGGCACAGTGTGATCTTGATATTCCTAGTTATCCACCAGGGGGCGTCCGCCACACAGAAAAGGTACATTGTTGAGCCGGCATCACAGCCTGTCTCTTCTTGTTCTTCCTCCTTAACAACCTAATCTCTGTCTGAGGGGAACTCAACCTGCAACAAGTGAATGTACTGTATATTATGGAACCATCCTTTCTTCAAGGTAATCACAGGAATACCTCACATTTAAACACTTCTAGGTTTTCACAGCAATATATGCCAAGTGGAGTAAATACAGATCATAAATACCCTCATATCAGTTAGGTTCAGGTTTTACCGCCAAATGAGTTTCAAAAAATATTTGTCTGGAGTTTTTTGAATTTTAGAATTCAAGATTAAGGACTGTAGAGCAGTATTTAGAAGCTAAATGTCTTTGTTTTTCCGAAATAGTTACAGTTTTGCAAACCATGCCTTATGCAGGGCCCCTCAAATATTTGAGATTTACATTGCTAAATATTGAAGTGTTTAGTCTGTAATTTTTTTGTTTTTTTAAAGATTTTATTTATTTATTTGAGAAAGAGAATGAGAGAGAGAGAGAGCATGGGCAGGGGGGAGGTCAAAGGGAGAAGCAGACTCCCTGCTGAGAAGGGAGCCGGAGGTGGGACTCCATCCCAGGACCCCAGGATCATGACCTGAGCTGAAGGCAGTCACTTAACCAACTGAGCCACCCAGGCACCCAGTCTGTAATTTGTTGAACTAAACTATTCTAAGAAAAGAAATTTAGGAGTTACCATATCTAAGGAAACTGGGAGTGTAATTTCACAAAATTATTCTCAGTGTTAGCCACTTGCCATAAGCTAGATGTTGAAAGCTTGTATGTGTAATTATTCTTTTAACCAATATAAAAATATTTAATAGTAATGACTAGAATTGTCATTGTTTTCAAAGACTTGTTTTTATATGCTATCTCTCTGATTCTTATTCCCCGTTTCTTTGATCATTGTAATAACTCTTGTAGTGACAAGAGCTATGATTATTACCAGACACATCCTAAAGAGAATACAAAGAAAATTGAAATAGTTCATTTAAAATCACACAAGTAATACGGGGGCCAAGGCAGAACCCACAGCCACTCTAATCCCATGTCCTTTATACTTCTTATTTAACCACAGGCACAAAAAGAAGAAAACCATAAGAGTGACGTGCTATAGTTTGTAAAACCTTCTTCTTTTAAATGAATATATGGACAAATGTAGTGATTTTTTTTAAGTTTTTTTTGTTTTGTTTTGTTTTGTTTTTAGTTTTTCCGGTAGATAAAACAATAAAGAAATAATGGCCCATCATTCATTCCAAGCAAAGAAACTGACTGGAGCAAATATGAAGACATACATTTACTGAATTCCTGATGAAAGCTAAACTGGTTACTTTGAAACCCTAGGATGAGCTGTCAATTTTGTAAAGAACTCTAAATAGCCCTTCACTTCTATTGTTATTATGATGAGATTTTATATTAAAACTATAATTCTATACATTCTATTATAAATAAGTAATCAGAAAGGATATTAGGTAAAAATTCATTGTGATTAGAAGCTGACCTCATTCATTACAAAGCTGGCTCTCATTTTTTTTTTTGAGAAACAGCATCATGTGCAAAATCACTGAGGAATAATAAAAACAGTAAGTTTAAAAGGCAATGACACTATACTCTAAACTCAAACATTCCACTCCTTTGTTGAGACTTTAGACCAATCACTTTAATTTTTTTGAATTTTAATTTCCTTATTAGTGAAATGGTAGCAATAGTACCTCTATCCAAGTCATTTACAATATTGTTGCAAATTTTAAATTATAATACAGGTACACGATTTTTTTGTGTGTGTTTTAAAATCATGATCTAATTAATTTGGTTATTCTTATCTTGTTACTTACGGGGGCATTTCTTGACACAAAATGCTCCATATGTATACTTTGCATTGAAGTTATGCTCCAGTTGAAAGGTGGTAGGATTGTAGACAAAAGTTTGGGGACACTGAGTAACACATGCTCCACTGTCATTGAAATTCATGCAGGCCTGAAACACAGAAAATATTAGTTTCATTTAAAAATAACCTTCATAATACTTGTTAAAGGAATACTGCTCTAACAACTTTGTGATGTGTTCTTTACTTATTAAGTTAATATTTATATAAAACATATGTGCATGGTCTATTTTTATATTTCACAAATAGTATAAAATTGGACAGGTTTATAGTCATTAAGTGCTTATTTTTAAGTTCAAATTTGTTCTGGACTTCAAAAATTTTACAAAACGGTTTTTCCAATGTCAATGAATATACAATCTATACAAAGATACTGGTATTCAAGTTACCTAGTCTCCACCTAGTAATCTCCAAACTAATAATGGTTTCATATTAAAATTAGCTAATAGTGAAAAATAATTCCAACTCGCACTATTCAAAGGGTTTATGTTCAGTCTTAGAGTCTGACACTAACTAACTCCCCAAGTCTACAGTCTAGTGTTTCCTTAAATCAGGTGTTTGGAAAAGTTCAGTGCCATAATTGACGTGGTAAGCACACTCATCACAGTTGTATAGTGAGAAAACATTGTAACAGCCATTTAAACTGGACTTGAAGAAAAAGCTCTGGCGGGTGACTAGTCAAATATAAATATGGAGTATGCCAAAATGAAGAGAAGCAGCCTATACTTCGCTCACAATTAAATAATGTGTTGCCATTTCCTATATGGTCTTTTTCATAATGCCTTGCCATTTGGTGAACGCCATCAAGTTCAAACAAAACAGTTTGTTTCTGCTGCCTTATGCCTTTCTAGTGAGACCTCAATTTATTAATGCATTCTAATGCCTTTGAGAAGAATTAAAAAACAATTTTACCATCTGAGAAGTATTTGGTATAAAAATAGAATATATGTATACATAAAACATGGCTTTCAAAAGAGTGGATGAACTAATTCTCTTAATTAAACAACTTAAACCTTCATAGGAATAATTGAGGTTTTGGAAAGTAAGCTAATATGCACTCAAGCTATATTTTATATTTCATCATAAATTGTATGGTTATTAATAAGCACTAATTCATTCTGTTTCCTCAAAACATTTTCTTCATCAATTGTTTTAGCAAGCACTTTATCACCAACATGACAATTCCCTGATGATAGTCTACTAGATGCATAATCAGGACAAGACTCACTCATGATACATTATTCACTAAGATGACATTTTCCAGGAAGAATCTATTAAAAAGCAATCTACAAAACTCACTAAGTTTTAATTTATGGCTATAAAACTTCATGTGTCCTCATAATTGCTTTATGAACATACTTTATGCAGTGTTGTGCGCAGATTGCTTGGCAACAAAGGGACATAAACTAAAGGAATCAAACCGATTTACCTTCCAGACAGCATTTAAAACAACCTAACTTACACCAAGGCTTTGGTCTGACATTCTTGAACATTCTGTACCAAATGCCAAAGTGGAATCATTGAACCATTCCATAAAAGTAATGAAATGAGAACTCTGAGACTCACCCGGCACTCTGTTTATTATGATAATGGAACCATGAGAACAAATCCAATGAAAAACTTCTAAGTGAAAGTTATGGTTATTGGTGTTTTTTGTTGTTACTGTTTTGGAATTGTTAAGAGCTGCTCAGCATCCTGGACATCAAGCTTTAATTTGTGTCTGGTGTTAGAAAAAGAGAAAAGGTCTCACTTCAAGACCTGCTAAAGCACCTTCCTTAAAATTTTAACATGTTTCTTTTCTTCTTCCTCACTACTCACTTCTGCAATATATAATTTTGTTTCACTATAGGATTAGGGTTGACAAATTAAGTTTTTTGTGACGTTAAGAAAATTAAGAAATGACTATAAGAGCTTTAATTTATGTTTTGCTTATTTTCAGAGTTGAGTCTCAATTTGAAAAAAATATTCAGTTTTAAATATATATGTGTATTTTCTGGGTATTTGAAAATGTGAAAAAAGAAAATAAACTTCTGTGTTCATTTTTAACAGCAAAAACAATTTCTTATTTTATGATTTTTAGCTTAAAATGAAAATAACATCTGTATATGAAATTGTGTTAACTATAGCTCACAGAACTATTTGTATTCAAAAGAACAGAAAGAACTGTATTGGGGATATTAAAATGTAATTAAAACATGTCCCCAACAAGCTATAAATGTTAATTTTAAGAAAGAAAAGTGTCCCTTTCTAAAATAAAAATCCCATAGATTAGCATATAAATTGCTTTAAGCATGCATTTGTTAATCTTATAAATTATGAATAATATTAACTTGCAAACAAAATAAACTGGGAAATAGTTAAATTTGTCAATTTATGAATAATCTTGAAATCTACAGCTATAATCTTAAAATTTAAATCCAAGAAATAAAATTCAAGAGCCCTCACTCAGAAAACTCAACTATGCAACAACATAAACAGGTAATCAATGTAAATTTTAGAAGGATGCTATTAGCTTTTAAAAAGATATCTCAATATGTTCCTCTTCACATTCTCTAATGCATCTCACCTATATTATAAATTACATCAGAAAGATATAATTCATTTGCTAGAACAGAACAATCCTAGGTAATCAATAGCTACCCAGTGAGGGAAGGAAGTATAGGAAGGCAGAGCATCTTTCTTAATCTTAAAATGGTTAAACTTGATCTTATTTTAATTAAAGATTCAATGTGCCTGAGTCCAACCAGGAAGGAGAGAGATAGGAAAAGTAGAAGGGAAACTCCAAGACTTACAAAGCAGTCTGTGTCCTTGGGTCCTGAGCAGCCCCCAGCACATTCTCTATGACAGCAGTCACTGACATAGGGCCCATAGCACCTGCCATCACACTGTTCTGCACATACCGTCCTTGTCACTGTGGAAGACAAGAGATGGGACCCTGATCAAAGTCAGTCACCAAGAGACACTTCTAAGATGCTTTGGAGTAGCTGAGAAAAGCTGAGCTTTCAGGTAACAATACTCAACCCACCATTGACTCAATTCAGCTCACATTTACCAAATGAAGTCAGCAACAGGTCAAAATCACTGTTCAAAAACCTTCAAAATTAATATAAACATTTGTTTTTATTTTCTTTCTTGTTCCAGCAAACACTTACCATGCTTTACAAAACAACCATATAACTTAGCAGGGAAGAATCAAATTTGAAATAATTGAATGAAACATTTTGGCAGCTTGAAATAGATGGAGTCAGCAGTGAAGTCAATCCCCAATGTGCACAGTAAGGTTTTATGACCGAGATATCCCCAGAAATAATCTAAGCCTTTTAGAGTCAATGCAAAAATGGAAACAAACTTTTACATGATTCACATTGCATCTTACATAATTCATATCAAGTAGATAGATAAATATAGCTAGAGAAACAGATACATATATAGTAACCTGGTCAGGAGTAGCATCACTGTTTCTTTTCTTGATATTTAAGTGAAATTTCTACCAAGTTTCCTGTGTAAGGAACAGAGCCATATCCTCAAAAGAAGGAAAGAAGAAAGGGAGGGAGGGAGGGAGAGAGGGAGGAAGGGAGGGAGAGAAGGAGGAAGGTGTGGGAGAGAGACACATTCATAGTAGATGCAACATAAATTTCCTTTGGTCTTTTCTTATAATGTCCTTTGATCCAAGCTGACACCACTATATTAGGGTATGCTTTAGTAAAAATCGGTGGTACAGGCTGGGCATCAAAATTACAGCTTCGAGGGACACTTATTTCTCTTATTCCAAAGAAATATATTTAAAGTATTTACAGAAATGAATGAGTGTTACAGAATATGTATAGCACATCGCATCTTGGCTTCTGTATTTCCACTTCACTCTGGTTTCCTTCCATCTTTTTTTTTTTTTTCTGTTTTTATTTATTTATTTTTTAATTTTTTATTTTTTCAGTGTAACAGTATTCATTATTTTTGCACCACACCCAGTGCTCCATGCAATCCGTGCCCTCTACAATACCCACCACCTGGATCCCCCAACCTCCCACCCCCCACCCCTTCAAAACCCTCAGATTGTTTTTCAAAGTCCATAGTCTCTCATGGTTCACCTCCCCTTCCAATTTCCCTCAACTCCCTTCATCTTTCATGCCAATGGGCCTCAAAAGAAGGCCGGGGTAGCAATTCTCCTATCAGACAAATTAGATTTTAAACTAAAGACTGTAGTCAGAGATACAGAAGGACACTACATAATTCTTAAAGGACTATCCACCAAGATGATCTAACAATTGTAAATATCTATGCTCCCAATATGGGAGCAGCCAATTACATAAGAAAACTGTTAATCAAGATAAAGAGTCATATTGATATGAATACATTAATAGTAGGAGATCTTCCATCTTTTTGACGAGTTCTTCAAAGCTTCCTTCACTGCTACTATAGCAAGATCTGTCTTTCAAACAATAGCATTCCCCAGAGTTGGGTTTGTCAATTTTCTTTAAGTCATGGGCTCATGCCTAGATGAAATCATCCATCCCTTATTTGCATACTACCTAGAGGTAGATGACATCAGATCCAAAACTGAATTTTCTATTGAGCAGCAGCATATATTACCAGCTGCCTACAGAAGACCCCACTTAGATATCCCAAGATGTATAATATAGAACATTACTCCCTTTCCCATCTACCAGTCAGACATATCTCTCTTCTTTCATCCCTTCCCTTGATTAGTGCTAGCACCATACATTTAGTAGCTTAGCTAAAAATTGGGGATGTGTTTTCTATTTCTCCTTTCCCCTCACCTTTGCTTCTCATAGCTAATAAAATTATCGAATAAAATTGCTAAGTAATGTTCCTCATTACGGTCTCTTCTCTCTACTCAAACTTTGTTTGAAAAGTAATCTTTAAATGACTGCATAGCCTTCTAAAAATTTTCTCAGATCCCAATTAATCCTCCAGCTGCTCTAAAAGCGATGACTTTAAAATACAAGCCACTGCCTATGAATCAGTGCTGTTAGCAGAACTTGTCATCCCTGTACTAAAGGAGTAAACCCTGAGCAAGGGATAAAAGTCCTTCATCAACTAAACCATCTCGATATTTACTGTCATTTCTCATTGTGCTTCTCCCATCCAGCCACACACAATCACCACTTGTGATTCCTGATTTCATGGATCATTTCCAATTTTGATTCTCATTGCCGTCTTATAATACTTTCCTCCATGCTAAAAACCCTCCCTATCTTTTTTGCCTAGCAAATACACATCTGTAAGATCCAATTCAGATGTCACTTTCTCTCTGAAAACTCCAGATATGGCTCCAGGATGAGTCAGTTTATCACTGTTTCATCTGCACAGGGAGAAAGTTAATGCAGATTCTATGTGGCCTAAAGGTCTAGTCTCAAACCCAAACTCTATTCTTGTGATATGGGCAGTTATTGAATATCTCTGTATTTCACTTTACTAGTTTTAAGATGGATTTAGTATTAGTACCTATCTAATGAGGTTGAAGATAAATAGAGATATCTGTATAAAGTGCTTAACATGGCCTCTGTTAATAGTGGTCAGCAACTGTTACATATTATTATTTCACTTATCATAATACTTTGTATTTTTTTTATGTTTACTCTTCCTACTAAACTATTAGTGTAGTTTTTTTGAAGTCCATTGCCTTTTTCATGTTTTTATCCTGATGACTGGTATAATGTTTGGCATTTAATATACAGAGAAGTAAGTATCCTCTCTAACTAAATAAATCGTATATTGCCAATTCAAAGAAAGTTATTTGTTGACTGCTTAATGCACATATCAAAGAAAAAAAATATGCAGGGGTGTCTAAGTGGCACAGTTGGTTACATGTCCAATTCTTGGCTTCAGCTTAAGTCGTGATCTCAGAGTCATGAGATCTCAGTGCAGTGTCTGCTTAAGACTTTCCCTCCACCTCCGCCCTTCCCCACTATGCTCACTCTCTCTCTTTAAAATAAATAAAAATGAATATTAAAAAATGCAGAGAGTTAAAGAGGTAGGACACTAAAAATGTAAATAGACAAATATTAAAATGCCAAGAAATAGAGCATACCAAAATCCAAATAAGAGAATTATTGTTACTGTCTATTACTAGACTTAAATGTTCCTTAAATTCTGCTATTGATTACTTCATGATTCCATATTTTCACTCGGATCCTTTTTAATTGAACATGAGTATGATATTCATAAAATAGTGGATGGTGTTTAAATATGAACTATATTCTTCTGTTAAACATGATTATATTCCTACTTATGTAGTGCAATCAGTACAAACATCAAATACAGTTTAAACAGAAACAACACTTGGACTCACTCTTTGTCTTGTTTTTATTTTGCAAAAATAAAGTTATATGATACTTCTTACGATCTTTTAGAAGATTTTGAAAAAGACAAATTTTAAGTCTCAATTTGTCGGTGCATTTTTTTTTAAGATTTTATTTATTTATTTGTGAGAGAGACACACACAGAGGAGGGAGAGGGAGAGAGAATCTGAAGCAGACTCCAAGCTGAGCACAGAGCCCAACTCAGGGCTTGATCCCACGATTGATAAAATTCAATAATTTCAAAACCAAGAGTCAGATGCTTAATGGACTGAGCCACCCTGGAGTCCCTTGAGGGTATATGTTGTATTTGCAATTTGGGTAACATTAAATTTTAAAATAAATTATTTTGTAAACATTTTAATAGAAATTTCTACATTTTAATAGAAATTTCCACCTGGGTGATTCCCTTGGTTAAGCTTCTGACTCTTGATCTTGGCTCAGGTCATGAACTCGGGGTCCTGGGATCAAGCCCCGCCTCAGGCTACCACTCATCAGGGAGTCTCCTTGAGATTCTCTCCCTTTCCTTCTGATCTTTCCCAGGTGCATAGACACTTGCACTTGTGCTCTTTCTCTCTCTCAAATACTTTTTTTTAAGATTTACTTATTTATTTGACAGACATCACAAGTAGGCAGAGAGGCAGGCAGAGAGAGGAGGAAGCAGGCTCCCTGCTGAGCATAGAGCCCAATGCGGGGCTCGATCCCAGGATGCTGGGATCATGGTCTGAGCTGAAGGCAGAGGCTTTAACCCACTGAGCCACCCAGGTGCCCCAAATAAATCTTTTATAAAAATTATTTTTATTAACAAAAAATGTATTATTTGCCCCAGGGGTACAAGGTTTGTGAATCATGAGGTTTACACATTTCACAGCACTCACCATACCACATACCCTCACCAATGTCCATAACCCAACCACCCTATCCCTATTCCCCCACCCTCTGCAACCCTCAGTTTGTTTGTGAGATTAAGAGTCTCTTATGGTTTGTCTCCCTCCCAATCCCATCTTGTTTCATTTTTTTCCTTCCCTACCCCCAAAACCCCTGCCCTGCCACTCAAATTCCTCATATCAGAGAGATTATATGATAATTGTCTTTCTCTGATTGACTTATTTCACACAGCAAAATACCTTCTAGTTCCATCCACACTATTGCAAATGGAAAGATTTCATTTCTTTTGATGGCTGCATAGTATTCGTGTGTGTGTGTGTGTGTGTGTGTGTGTGTGTGTATCACATCTTCTTTATCCATTCATCTGTTGATGGGCATCTAGGTGCTTTCCATAGTTTGGCTATTGTGGACATTGCTCCTATAAACATTCGGGTGCACATGTCCCTAAATCCTTTTTTTTTTTTTTTTTTTTAAGAAATTTTTTCATAAATAAATTAATTTTGTCCTTTTTTTTTTTTTTTTTTGAGTTTTCACTGAAATCTCTTTTTCCTGGTGAAGTCAACCCCTATTTAATATTGAATCCTTTCCAAACTACTGATTCTTGATGAATCCTCCTCTTATTTTTCTTTACCTTTCTCTCTCTCTCCTTCCCTCTGCTTCTTTCTTTCCTTCTTTCCTTTTGTCTTTCCTTTCTTCCTCCATC